GACGCCGAGATGGCTTCCTGGAAGTCCACAGGCACCTACGTCGACGAAGTTCCCCCACCTGGGGCGAACATCGTCAGTGGCATGTGGATTTTCAGGGTGAAGCGGCCGCCGGGTTCTCCGCCTGTCTTCAAGGCGCGTTACGTGGCTCGAGGCTTCAGTCAGCGGCAGGGAGTTGACTACTTTCAGACCTTCTCCCCGACCTCGAAGGTGACCACTCTTCGGGTGCTCAGCGTGACTACGAGCTTCACTCTCTTGACTTCAGCACTGCTTTCCTACAGGGCAGCCTGCACGAGGAGATCTGGCTGCGCCGCCCACCTGGCTTCACTGGGTCGTTTTCTCCTGGTACCCAGTGGAGCCTCCGGCGGCCAGTCTACGGTCTCCGCCAGGCGCCCCGTGAGTGGCACGACACACTGAGGACTACGCTTGCGGCTCTTGGGTTTTCTCCTTCTACTGCTGACCCGTCGCTGTTTCTTCGCACCGACACTTTGCTGCCGCCGTTCTACGTCCTCGTGTACGTCGACGACTTGGTCTTTGCTACGGCTGACACTGCTGGACTCGCCCACGTGAAGTCCGAGCTGCAGAAGGGACACACGTGCACAGACCTGGGTGAACTGCGCAGCTATCTTGGCTTGCAGATCACTCGGGACAGAGCACGGCGCACCATTACCCTGACTCAGTCACACATGGTGCAGCAGGTCCTTCAGCGCTTCGACTTCACGTACTCCTCGCCTCAGGCCACTCCTCTGTCTACTCGCCACTCGCTCTCAGCTCTGCCTTCGGATGAGTCCGTAGAGCCGAGTGGGCCGTACCCAGAGCTTGTTGGCTGCCTCATGTACCTGATGACCTGCACTCGTCCTGACCTGGCATACCCTCTTAGCATCTTGGCACGCTATGTTGCTCCTGGGAGACACCGACCAGAGCACATGGCTGCCGCGAAGAGGGTGTTGCGCTACTTGTGCAGTACGTCGGGCATGGGGCTAGTGCTTGGAGGGCGGAGTCCAGTGGTCCTCACTGGTCACGCAGACGCGTCTTGGGTTGACGACCTGGCTACTCAGCGGTCGTCACAGGGTTACACCTTCAGCCTTGGTTCCGGCTCTGTTTCGTGGCGGTCTACCCGCTCGTCTTCTGTTCTCAGCTCCAGCTGTGAGGCTGAGATCTACGCAGGGGCCATGGCTGCACAGGAGTTACGCTGGCTCACCTACCTGCTGACTGACCTGGGAGAGCCGCCTCGTTCTCCTCCAGTTCTGTACGTAGACAACAAGGCCATGCTGGCCTTGTGTCGGGAGCACAGACTGGAGCACAGAACAAAGCACATTGCTCTTCGCTACTTCCTTGCTCGTGAGCTGCAGCAGCGTGGTCAGCTGCGCCTTGCTTACGTGGCCTCTCAGGCCAACACTGCTGATATCTTCACCAAGGCACTTCAGCCTTGTGATCATCAGCGCTTCTGTACTATGCTAGGTCTTGTGCCTACTTTGCCTCACTTGCTTACCTCTTGACTTTACTTGTACTGTGATCTATATATATACCTGCACTTGCTTGTTTACCTCTTATATATAATCCTGCATGTGAGCTGGCCTTGTGGCCTTTGAACCTGTGCTCGGAATGTGTGGTGACTTTGTGATCCACCCTGAGCTTGCTTTGCTTTGCTTTGCTTGACTGGTCTTGTGACCCCTTGTTCTCCCCCACTTTGCCTATGGGGGTGTGTCAAACTTATATGCTATAGTCTGTTTAGGCTGTAGTGGGGTTGACACTATAGGGTACAATCTCCTAGGGTTTCATATTTGTACCCAACTCATTTCCTAGTCATTCATTCATTCCTCAATTCTCTCACAGTACTTGTACCCAACTCTTTCATAGTTCTTTCATTCTCGTTCATTATTCTGACAGGGAAGGTGGCGAGGGGGGTACACCACCAATAGATAGAAAACTAACATGATACTACACTAACTACCGTCATCGCCCGGATATAAGACATATATGTCTTATCTCGTACACTAGAAAAAAATGCTCGAGTTATCTGTCAGAATCCCAACCACTAGACCATTGGGATAAAAGGGCTTGTTTCAGTAGCGGGTCAGTGCGCCCATAACCCCCCCAGGCAAACGCGCCTGTAACCCCCCCCTAGGATCGATCGGGGATCTCACAGTGTAGCTCTACTGACACCCCCCCACACTGGGAGGCCCAGGACTGAGCACAGTGGCAACGGCCAACATGTGCATACACCGGGATTCGAACCCGAGACCGCTCTGATACCATGACAAAGTTCTTAGCTAGGCTTAGGAGCCATAGCTAGTGAGGTAGGAAGTTGAGTTCGAGTTTAGGAAAAATGTCGAGAGGAATGAGGGGTTTCACTATAGGTTCAAGGGTACAAATATGAGACAACAAGCAAGAAAGGTGCACCACCAAATAGGAAAACGCTATAACTACAGTAACCAATCCTACAGGCAGTTACATATAGAAAATATTAAATTATATTTTCCGACACGCCCCCATAACTGGCTGTAGGAGATGAGTATGCAGTTAGCGCCCTCCGAAGGGGTACATCACGATTGCGCAGGAGGAGAAAAGTGTTTCAATAATACCACTCCCCTGGCTCCCCCACACCCTCACACCCTCTCACCCTCCCCCTCCCCTTCCCTTTCCCCCTCCCCCACACACTGCTGCAGGAGCAGCAGAGGGGGGAAGAGAGGAGAGGTGGAGGGACGGGTGCTGGGTGGTCTCACACCCGCCACCCCAGTGCCACTCCCCGGGCTCCCCCACACCCTCACACCCTCCCCCCCAGCGGCAGCTGTAGCAGCGGGAAAAAAAGGAGGAGGAGAGGGGGGGGGGGGGGGGGGGGGGGGCCGACGCACGGCCTCCCCGGGTGCCAAAGCAGGCGGCAGAGGGGGCGACGCCTGCCCCCCCCTTCCAGGTCGCCCCTCCCGGCACCTGTCGAGGTGACCTGAGGGGGCCGCGTGCGGCCCCCGAAGGAGCCGCGACGGGTTACGGGAAAAGGGGGGGGGGCGGTGCACGTGCCCCCGGTGTGCCGCGACTGGCGACGGGGCATGGCCGGGGCGGGGTCGGGGCCGCAAGTGGGCGGGGCCGTAGGTGGCATCGGGGCCTCAGGTGGCGGGGCCGCAGGTTGGCGACGGGGCCGTAGGGCCGCAGGAAGGGCGGCGGTGGGGCCGCTGAAAGGGCGGGCGAAGGGCTGCTGGTAGGGCGGCGACGGGGCCGCTGAAAGGGCGGCGATGGGGCCGCTGAAAGGGCGGCGACGGGGCCGCTAAGAGAAAATTAAGGGGGGCACGCCACGGGGCGTGCAGAACACAGAGTAGCAGCGGAAGCAATAGGGCGGGTCCACAGGCCAGGACCGTGATCACTCTGATAGCATGTCAGAATCCCAACCACTAGACCATTGGGATAAAAGGGCTTGTTTCAGTAGCGGGTCAGTGCGCCCATAACCCCCCAGGCAAACGCGCCTGTAACCCCCCCCTAGGATCGATCGGGGATCTCACAGTGTAGCTCTACTGACATTATCTTGTAGTTGGGGAGGTTTTGGGTGTCTTATAAGTCTTATAAATGGAAACTTTTTAAACTACTTAGAAAGTTTTTCACACATCTTGAAGAGAGTTTCTCATAATGAGTGTGGACGTTGCGAAGGTGCCACTTCGGCAACCATTGTTCGGGAAGCCACGTCATGGAAAATACTTGCAGAGGCAAATTTGGTGGTACCTGAGTCAGCACGTGGAAGAATTCGCGCATCGCAAAGGTAAAAATGTACGCGGTAATTCAAGTTGCACTATAATATGTTGCAGTTTCTATTATACGACACATATGTCTTATCTCGTACACACAATTATGTGTCTTATAATGATGCTAGCCTGCTTATAAGAGACACCCGGATAATAGACAACCCCTGTCTACTATTCAACATTGTCTACTATCCGGGCGATGACGGTATTATATATACAAATATAATTCTGACATGCGTTACCACATCGACAACTACCCCAAAACTGCTCTAATGTTTTCACATCTGAGCGGAAATTGAGATTCATCATCAAATTGTGCCGGTGAGCATACTCGTTGTAAGCGTCGTCGGCGAGCAGGATTAAAACTGAACCTACGGTATGGCATCGTGGATGCGTCAACCCTAAATACCATGCGGCAATACGTTCAGGGTTGATTCCTCTCTAATTAATGCCCTTTGAATGATAATGCTTCTTTACCCTGCAGTGCTTCCTGCAAACCCATGCAGCGATGCGACATTACGATAATTGGCGAATTTCTCAGATTCTATAAGGGAAATACAATAATAATTTCAAATTCAGCAGCCCACGCAGCAATACCATTATCGCGACTGGTGCTTAGAAGGATCACGGGAAAGCAGCTTCGCAGTACCAGATGCACAGAGATGCGAGGCAGCAGCACCTTCGTGCAGCTTGTTGGTGTGACAGCATCACAGTGACCTTTGTGGTTGGTGCTCGTCTTTGCGGTCAACCGCGCTGCCAGATGAGCAAAGCGTCCTTCCTTGCATCTGGGAAATGCTGGAGCCTGGAAGCTCCAAACCACGCGCACATGCGCGCCTCGAGAAACCAACCTTCGTGGCGGAGCATAAATTTGAGTTGTGTTTGGGACTCCAGAAATCCAGAGACATTCCAGATTTGTGTTTGGCGACGTCAGGTTGTACATCTCTCGCGCATTTACTCTTCTATCGTGGCTCAGGACGGTTTCACACGGTGGGAAGCGGTTCTCAGGATTTACCGTTTTGCACCTTGACGAAACTAAGTTGACCGCAGGGAGCTTACAGAAGTTGTGCAACCTGACATCGCCTTCAACAGAATCAGAGGAAGAGAACAACTGACAACCCATGCTGGGTTGATCGTGGCTGAATTCTACCTATCACCCTAATCTTAGAAAAGCGTGAACATAAGAAAAACAAAAAACAAAAAAGCATGCTGTTATTACCTCTACTCAAAATTGATATCTCTAGTATACCCAAGTATATGATTCGAATCATATACTCATTCGAGTAGCTTTCCCTCTCGGTCCCTCTTTGGTGACCTCCTGCCTTTCGACCGCGACCCAGGTGGTGAATCAACAGAACCACCTCCCCCTGACATTGTCGCTCCTTCACCAGCGTATTGGTTTTGATTTTCCGTGCTTTCAAACCTTGGCTGGGCGAATGATCCATGAGAGGTGGTGTTTGGCGCGGACTGAGTGAAGGGCATGGATGATGGAAAAGACACGAAGGGGACGGACTGGAAGACAGGAGGCGATGCAAGGTTTGCGAATAGGAGGGAGGCCAGGTTGGATGGTTCTGTTGTCGTGTGTATCTGAGACAAGTGAGGCATGTGAGACACTTGCTGCAGCGCTTCGGCGACTTCCTTGTCAAGCTGCTCCTGCGGAGTGGAGAACTGCACCCCTGGCAGGAGAGCAACTGATGCGGTTTCATAGCCCTCTTGAGCGCCAGCTACTCCCGACGGCCCATCGTTCTGCGTGGGTGTAGACCACCAAGCCGCATCCTGGGTCACATCCACTTGATGGGACACGTCATGTGGGGTCCATGTCATCGCGTCGTTGCTCACATGTTCCGTGACATCGGGATTATCATCTGCCAGCAGAAGCGCTTCCAAGGACGCGATGGTGTGAGCCGATGGCACTCTTGCCACCGGCATTGACCCATGATAGCTCCAGGTTGGTGGGTTCTCGCTGCTGCCACTTGCAGTGATCGCAAGTTGCGGCTGAGCGGTCGCATTTCGTGGTTCCGTTGAGAAGAGTCCACTGTCAGGAGCGCTCCCTCCGTCACTGTCCATCCTCATCCAAATGTTACTAGCCTCCCCCGCACTTTTCACTCCACTGATTCTCCCGTCATCTCCGGAGAATGTACCCTCCTCGCTGTGCCTGCCAACGATGTCAGAGCTTGCGGTAGTAACTCGCGTCACGAATCTGCTACTACCATGCAGTAGATCCGCGTCAGTGGGTCCTTCGCCATACGCTACTACAGGCGCCGCATTCATCCCATCACTCTCCTCGGCAGCGGTGGCGTCATCCTCCCCGGATTCCGCATCCACACCATCATCGAGGGAGTCCAAAGCGTGCCACGACTTGGCGGACGCGAGTTCCTGCGGGGACGAAGGCAGGGACATCGACTTGACGTGGTGCGATGATGTAAGTCCCTTCCTCAGATTGCCCAGCTTGCTTCGCTTCGCCGCGTCGCCCTGAAACGGGATCGCATCGCGTTTGTAGAGGCGAATCACCACCCACGTCGACGTCCCCTGCTGCTGCTGCTGCTGCTGCTGCTGCAGTAGCTGTAGCTGCTGCTTCTGTCGCTGTGTTGCCGTGGGAGGAACCCCCGCTCGTCCCGACGCTGCTTTCCTACCGCCCTCACTTGACTTGCCACTAACGGCGCCACCATGCGAAGCTTCCTCAACGGTACTACCGATCAGCGATTCCGGGTCGTCACTAGATTCTACGAGGCGGTACTCGTGCATCACCCAAGCCGTCTTCTCCCCCCGCGGCGCCCTTCCTTTGTAGAACACGTGGCCCTTCTTATACCCGACAATGCGTCCGCTTTTGGCATCTTTAACCGACTCGCCCTCCTCCCGGCCGCCTTGGGATTCGTTCCCCTCCTTGCGCGAGGCGTACACGGGGCGGTCTTTCCCCGTGGCCTTCCAGTAGCCGGATGACGTCATCCGATTGGCGCGCGTGCCCATGAGGTACTTTCGGTCGCGCGACGCGAAGAAGAACCACTCATCGCTACCGTTAAGCGACACCATCGCCTTTCCTGGAAGCTCCCAGGGCTCGAATCCGTACATGTCAATGTCGCCGATCGCGTTCAGCGGGATGGGCTGGTTGCCGATTTTGCGGGGTAGGTAGAAGGAGAGGAGCTCCTCATCTGTGGGATGGAACCTGAATCCAGGAGGAAGCGAGCTATCGCTGTCTTCATTTGCGGGCGCGCCAGATAAGGACATTCCGACGTCAAGGCTCGTTAGAACGAGCAAGTATGCTCTGTCTGATTTTTGCTAATTCACGGCTTTTCGCTCAGCGGGTTCACGGAGGAGGCGGGGATAAGGAATGTGAAGGGAGATGGTGGCTTGTGTTTCAGCCGGAACTGTTGAACAGCAAAATTCGATGCTTGGGATCTCGAAATTTTCAAGCCGCGCATTCTCCAGACAACGAGCCGCGCGATTTGGGAAACGCGGTTTCCAACGCGGTTGTACAGTTCCTGATCCCGCGTACTAATGATTCGGGCAACATTGTCACCGTCAGAGATCTTGCTGCGCCACCGAATTACTGTACAGCAGGTCACGCGGTTGTCACACTACCACACAATGAAGCCTTCGTTTACTTCGTCATTCTTCGTTTTGACTTGTAACTATGTCACAATGTACACGTAGGATCAAGATGCCAGCAAGGCAGGGAGAATCAAAATTGTACCACCATTCTTCACCTATGTTCAATTTCATAGGCATGAAGTGCAGAGAAGTGCCAATAACGAGTACTGTTGCCGCTGAACAAGCATCCGATGGGAAGGTTGTTCCTCGCCGCTGAACAAGACATGTGTAAGGAATTTTCCCTAATTCCTTACTGAGTCACACTGTACGCGTACAGACCCCAACATTTCGGAGTTCCGGCTCGGTCCGACAACCTCGCCCTCCGAACCATCATCGCGTCGCCTTCGGGTTTCCCAACCCCGAACCTACACCCAGCCATTCGCGGTCCCGCGACCTCGACCTAGCTAGCAGTTGCTATATTAGTGCTAGGCCTCATTATTTGCTCAGTAGTTGTTATCACTTCCGCGTTATTGAATCCTGCGCACTCTCTTCATTACAACTCATAACAGCTGGTATCAGAGCTACTTTCCTAGGTTACCCTCGCGTTTCCGGGGTAGTTTGTGTGAGGGGAGCGATAGACTTAGTGGGCTGCAAAGCGGTCGGCCTGTGAAATAGATATGATTATTTCACTCCGACTACGATAGTGTTTGCGCCTTCACTAAAAGTCATAAAAATCGCTAACCACCCCCTGCCCGTCCGACGAAGCCTACGAAACATGGACCAGGCGGAGTTGAACGAGTTCATGCAACAGTTTCGGGCGATGCAGGCCAACATGCAGACGATGTCTGTGGAGGTCGAACGCCTGAGGAAAGAAAACGCCGAACTACACCAGGCGCGTGGTGCAGCGCGCCAGGAGTCGCCCGTCGAAGATGAAGCAAGTAGCAGCTCCACGCCGAACGAGGCCGTCTTCAGCGAGCTCGAGAGCTTCATGAATGCTGCAGAAGAAGAGCGAGCGCAGCAGCACCAGTCGCGAGCAGTGCTGACACGTGCACCAGCGACAGCAGCGGCGACAGTCCCAACAGCAGTGACAGCTTCAACAACTGTCAAGATCAAGCCGACGAACCCGCCCCCATTCAACCCGAGTGACAAGTTTGTCACTGTTTCTGCATGGTTGTTTGGTACGGAGGTGTTCTTTAATGCTGCGATGATTAACGATGATGCAACCCGCATTAATTTTGCAGTTTCACTATTACGAGGGCCTGCGTTGGAGTGGTGGCGACGCACGCTGCAAATCGAGGGGACTTCGGCAGGGACAACACGTGTGAACGACGGGACCTCGACACCTGTCACGCAACGAGCAACTTCGATTTTCGGAACAGCCACGATACGCACATGGAAGGAGTGGGGCGCCGCCTTGCGAGCCAGATTCGAGCACATATCCGCCTCGGACTCTACCCGCATGAAGCTGCGTGCCTGGAAGCAGTTGACTTCGGTCCAAGACTACACCAGCACATTCTGCAACTTGGCTGACCAGGTGGACGATATGAGCGACGCAGAGCGGATGGATCGCTACGTGGCGGGCCTGAAATACGAAATTCAATATGAGGTCCGACGATCGCGGCCATGCAGCTTTAACGACGCCGTCCGGGAAGCTGAGTCAACGGATGCACTGATGCAGTGGGCGAGATTGAGCTCCCGGGAGGGCCCTCGATTTCGTGGATCGACGCAGCAGCCCACGATCAACGGTGTGGATGCGCCAAGCCGAGTCCTTGGGCCGTGCTTTGCATGCAACCAACTGGGCCACCTGAAAAGAGACTGCCCGAAGCTGAAACAGGGAAATAGGAACGACGGAGAAGGGTCGGGAAAAGAAACGAGTCAGTAGCAGACGGGCGCCCTACTGACGAGACCCTGTCGCCCGACAATCACCATCCACACCGAGTTGTGGTACCGATCCGAGCTATCGACCGCAATCGGACGAATAACGTGGGTGAACACGTGGACCACCCTGTGCTGGTAGTAGGGAGGGTTAACGTGTGAAGATGAGCAGTAGAAGAAGGCGCCATAGCTAGGAAAGCCCTAGCTAGGCAAGAAACAGTTTAGGCAAAGAAGAAGGAGTTGCACTAGCAAGAATGAGGATACAAATAGCAAACCCTAGAAGGGTTGTACTCGCTATAGAGCACCCCACTACAGGCTAGAGCATAATATTCTGACACACCCCCATAGCCAAAGTGGGGTGTAATCAGCAGAGCAAGCAAAGCAGAACAAGCTCAGGGTGGATCACAATGTCACCACACATTCTGAGCACAAGTTCAGGAAGCAATAGTTTAAAGTTCACAATTATGAGCAAAGCTAGTGGTAGTCACAACGGGCAAGTGAGGAGGAGGAGGGACAGTGAGAGGAGAGGAGATAGGAGGCGACGGCTGAAGCTGCAGACACACGGGCAACAGGAGGCACACTGGCATTGCGGCTACCGGAACAGCGCTCCGGACTACTGGAGTAACTGGCCCCGCGGCTAAAAGTAGCGGCAGACGAGCAACGGACCCACGGGCGAATGGCACAGGTGGCTACGACTGGGCTACCGGAGCAACTCCCCGGACTACAGGTGCTGCTGGCGACACGACGGCAACCTCCGTTCAACCTCCCCCAAACAGTACCACCCCCCCTGACACACACCCCCTGCTTCACCCCTAGCTCCACTCCCCCTTCACCCCCCCTTAGTACCACTCCGACGGCTCCAACAGGTCCACCCCCCTTCAGCGGCAGCTGCAGCACAGGGAGACGGAGGAGGAGGAGGAGCAGGGAACGGCACACAGAAGCTGCACCCCCATACCCCCCACCCCCAAACCCTAATCTAGGAGAACGGGCAGAAGGAGGGGTGGGGCGCCTTCAGAAGCACGGGGGACAGCGGGGAGGACAGGGGCAGCGAAGAACGGGCCGCCCACGGGCCTGGCACAGCCTCCCGAACCGCGCGCAGGCGGCCCGAGCCGCGCGCGGGCCTGGCGCAGTCCGTACGGGCCGCGCGCGGGCCTGGCGCAGCCCGTACGGGCCGTGCGCGGGCCTGGCGCAGCCCGTACGGGCCGCGCGCGGGCCTGGCGCAGCCCGTACGGGCCGCGCGCCGGCTGTACGGGCCGCGCGCAGGCCACGACGGGCGACGGGGGGCGACGCGCGGGTCCCCGTCGCCCGTCGTAGCGCCTCCTGGGGGCGACGCGCCGAGTGACGGGGCAGAAACCCGTCGCGCGCCTCGGGGCGCACGGCGGGCAGAAAACCGCCGCGCGCCTCGGGGCGCACGGCGGGCAGAAAACCGCCGCGCGCCTCGGGGCGCACGGCGGGCTGAAAAACCCTAATTTCGACGCTGCGCACCACGGGGCGCGCGGCGGACAGGGAGTAGCAGTAGCAGCGGAAGCAGTGAGGTGGGGCCCACAGGCCAGGAGCATATCGCTCTAATACCATGTGAAGATGAGCAGTAGAAGAAGGCGCCATAGCTAGGAAAGCCCTAGCTAGGCAAGAAACAGTTTAGGCAAAGAAGGAGTTGCACTAGCAAGAATGAGGATACAAATAGCAAACCCTAGAAGGGTTGTACTCGCTATAGAGCACCCCACTACAGGCTAGAGCATAATATTCTGACATAACGGTCACAAAATAAAAATATTCGTTGATGGTGGGGCTAGCCATAGTCTCATCAACTTGTCAACCGCCAAAAAAATTGGGGTGAAGCTGACCAGGTGTCTGCCGGAGATTGACGCAAGGCTGGTGGATGGGACACCGTTGGCCATTCGAGATGAAGCGCGAAAAAATCGGTTGAAGTGCGGCGACAATTTCGGGTTCGGCATGAAGATGTTTGCGACAACATTGGACGGCTGCGATGTACTGTTGGGACGAGACTGGCTGCAACAATACAATCCGACGATCGACTGGACAACGGGGGCATGCACCGTGCGAGGAAATACGGGGCATACGACGCTTCCGAAATGGACGGACCCGGAGCCGGTGACTACACGTGTCAACGCTGTCACCATGCGGCGAGCGATAAGCAACGGGGCACGAGGCTACACCGTACACCTGTACGAGGTAGCAACCTCCGAAAATATCGCGGACATCAACACGCTCTGTAAGGCAGTTCCTGAGGAGCTGGCAAGCATCATTCGGAAGTATCCCGACATTTTCGCGGATGACCTACCCGATGGCCTGCCACCTCAACGTCCGGAAGATCACAGGATACAGCTGGAACCCGGCGCGCAACCAACTGTTCGAACACAGTGGCGGCTCAGCCAACCGGAGCTTGAGGAGTTGAGGAGCCAGCTGGACTACCTTCTCGCAAAAGGTTTCATCCGGCCAAGCACGTCACCGTTCGCAGCACCCATACTGTTCACGCCGAAGAAGGACGGGGGCCTACGCATGTGCATTGATTATCGAGCGCTGAATCGGGTCACGATTAAATCGCGTTACTGTCAGAATCCCAACCACTAGACCATTGGGATAAAAGGGCTTGTTTCAGTAGCGGGTCAGTGCGCCCATAACCCCCCAGGCGAACGCGCCTGTAACCCTCTCCAGGATCAATCGGGCATCCACAGTGCAGATCTACTGACAACCCCCCACACTGGGAGGCCCAGGACTAAGCACAGCGGCAACGGCCTACATGTGCATACACCGGGAATCGAACTCGAGACCGCTCTGATACCATGTCAGAATCCCAACCA